TGACATAGGGAGTACACACTTCCCCTGTGATAACTTTCTCTCTGATAAAATGCTTGTCGACTTCGATGTGTTTAGTTCTATCATGTAGCACAGGGTTAGCAGCAATGTTTATGGCTGCTTTGTTATCACAGAATAGGGTCATAGGTCTGTCCACTGGAAAAACCAACTCACTTAACAGATTCTTTATCAACATAATTTCAGCCACTCCATGAGCCATTGCTCGATATTCAGCTTCAATACTGGATCTAGCCACCACACTTTGCTTTTTGCTTTTTGCTTCTCCAGGTAACTAAATTTCCTCCTATGAAGGTGCAGTAGCCACTAGTTGACTTTCTGTCCCAATCTGCATCAGTATACACTTCAACTTTCAAATGTCAATGCCTTTGAAACAACAAGCCAACACCTGGAAACCTTTTAAGGTATCGGAGGATTCTTTTTGTTAAATCAAGATGAGTGGTCATAGGGGCATGCATGAACTAGCTAAGGACACCAACTGCATAAGCAATGTCTGGGCGGGTCATAGAAAGATATAACAATCTCCCTATAAGTCTTTGAAACTGTTTCACATCTTTGATAGGTTCACCTTGGCTGTCACCTAATTTATGGTTAGGAGCAATGGGGGAATCAACTGGCTTCACTCCCATTTTTCTTGTATCCTAGAGTAAATCTAGGGCGTACCTCCTTTGGGAAATTAAGATACCCCTTTTTGAGCGGGCAACTTCAATTCCTAGGAAGTATCTCAGAGGACCTAAATCCTTTACTTCAAACTATGTGGCAAGAAAACTCATCAACTTTTGGATTTCATCCTTCCAGTCGCCAGTGATAATTATATCATCAACATATACTATCAAAGCAGCAATTTTACCTTCTTCTCTTTTCACAAACAATGTGTGATCATATTGACATTGCTTGTATCCTTTCTACTGAACCGCTACATGGAATCTGCTGAACCAGGCTCTCGGTGATTGTTTCAACCCGTATAAAGACTTCTTCAACCTGCACACCTTTTGTTCATTGCCTTGAGCCTGAAAACCAGGGGGTTGTATCATGTAAACTTCCTCTTCAAGGTCACCATTCAAGAAAGCATTTTTGATATCAAGCTGATGTAGATTCCAGTCAAGATTAGCAACAAGAGAGAATAGAACTCTAATGGAGTTCATCTTGGCAACGGGTGCAAAAGTCTCTGCATAATCAACTCCGTACACTTGTGTAAACCCCTTTGCCACTAAACGAGCTTTATACCTCTCCACCGTGCCATCAGCCCTATGTTTGACTGTGAACACCCATTTACATCCAATTGGATCATTTCCCTTAGGAAGATCTACAAGTTCCCATGTGCCATTTTTATGAAGGGCATTAATTTCTTCCTTCATAGCATYTRTCCATTCAGGTACTGAAARAGCTTCTGCCACATTCTTAGGGATAGGGACACTGTCAATGGATGTGAGAAAGGCTCGAAAAGAAGGTGAAATGTTTTCATAGGAAACAAAGTGGGAAATGGGGTGTTTAGTGGTGCACGATCTAACACCTTTCCTGTGAACAATAGGAAGGTCAAGGTCGTTAGCAACAGAGGTATCAACTGCAATGGGGTCAGGAACATCAATGGGAAYCAARATWCCTAAGTGGGTATGATCCGTCCCCGAAGAGTTTAATGGCACTGGAGGTACAACTTCTAGATTCTCCACAGCTCTTGAATTTGGTTGGCCTTTGTGACAACGGAAGAAGACAAGAAAAGGAGGAGGATCAGGAAGAGAAGGGAGTTGAACTAGTTTCTCCTCATTCCTACTCTCCCCCTGAGGAGAAACAAGGAAAAAAGGCTCACTCTCAAAGAAAGAGGCATCCATGGAAATATAGAATTTTCGAGAAACAGGATCAAAACAACAGTATCCCTTTTAAGTGGAGTACCCCAGGAATATGCAAGGAATAGCATGAGGATCCAATTTCCCATGAGTGGCGGACAAATTTTGGATAAAGCAACGACGACCAAACACACGAGGAATGGGAAGAATGGGAGTCTTAGGAAAGAGAAGCTGATGTGGGGCTTTGAACTCTAACCAACGAGAGGACATACGGTTGATGAGGTAGGTAGCACAAAGGACAACCTCAAGCCAAAAGCGTTTTGGGACATTCATATGGAGTAGTAAACCCCGGGCCACTTCAAGGAGGTGTCGGTTCTTTCTTTTAGCAACACCATTTTGTTGTGGTGTTCGGGTACAAGAGCTACGGTGAAGTGAACCACGTGACGCAAAAAATTCAGTGAAATCACTATGAAAAATACTCTTTGGCATTATCTGACTGAAAAATTTGGATTTCAGTTTGAAATTGGGTGAAGACAATCCGCTGAAAATCTTGGATAATTTTGGGTACTTCATCCCTGGTCCGCATGGGATACACCCATGTATATCTAGAATAATCATCGATAATGGTAATAAAATACTTGTAGCCACTCTCAGATGGTAAAGTAACAGGGCCCCACACATCAGAATGAACAATGTGAAAAGAAAATTCATATTTATTATTTTTTGAAAGAAAATGAGTTCTACACAGATTACTCAATTGACAAGTTTGACAAGAGAAATCTGAAACGGACACCGACTTAAACAATTCTGGAAACACCACTTTCAAAGACTCAAAAGATAAATGACCAAGATGACAATGCCATAAATAAACTTGACTCTTACAAGACTGACTCTTAAGACTCTGTGACTTGAAAACCAGCCTTATTCTCCAGCATGTAAAGTCCATCAACCATACATCCTCTACCAATCGTCCCCCCTGAGGCCAGATCCTAGATCACACAATAAGAAGGGAAAAAGGTCACTAAGCAGTTTAAGGAATTAGTAATACTACTAACAGAGAACAAATTAATGGGAAATTTCGGAACATGTAAAACATTAGAGAGGGTAAGACCGAGAGGGAGAGAAATGATTCCTTGACCAGCTATGGTAGTATATGATCCATCAGCTAGTCTCACCTTGTCTCTTCCAGAAAGAAGGTGATAGGTTTGAAAGTAAGAGGACGTACCAGTCATGTGTTTTGACGCTCCATAATCAATGATCCAGGGAC